AAAGACCTGTGACCACCAAAACAGAAATGGCTGTTGGCGGGAGAGACAACAATGACACGTATAGAACACGTTCAGGGCGGCAGATCAGAACGCCGAAACGTTATTCAGACACCTAAAAACGGTGCACGGAATATGCATACAATAGTCTTATATTAAGCTATGATTTGTGGTGTGCATAATCGCAAGTCCGATGTTTTGCATTATAATTGAATCGTGATTCGTTTAGTTAACTGGTAAAATTAAGCAATGAACAATCCAGTTAACAGTGTTTTATTTGTGAACATTCCGGTATGCAGAAAGCATTTATTTGTGAACTTTTTTGTAGCGACGAACGTTGTGTAAAAATGTGGAACATTATTCACACAGTGCAAGGATAGTTGCACAAGAATCACGACATGTTATAAGTTTTCAGCTCTCAGTCAGTTATATGGATACAAATCGCAGCAAGTTAAAAAATTAATTGTCATAGTTCCGCATGTTTATTGTTATAAAAAAGGGGGATGTAACATTCCAGTTGGAAAGGGGGATGTAATGATGTAACGTTATGACGTGCCTGAGAGCGTACGAGATTCCACGAGACTCGCTCTCTCTGCTGCGTGTGCTTGGAAGCGTGAGCTGTGTTTGAGGATGGCTCCTCAGAACAATAAATATTATATCAACTAACAACATGTGTTGATCCATAATATTACAGCTACGCAAACAGATAACGAGACGATAGACCAGTTTGTTGTCCGTCTAAGACAGCTGGCGGAAACATGCGAATTTGACATGTTGGAAGGAGGTCTTATTNCATTTTGGATTTCAAGATGGCCGCCACAATACGCAAAAGTCAGCCTGGAAACATACCCAGTGGAACTCCCCAAGTATCATAGAAATAATATTTACCCGTTTCCAGCCTCTACCCAAAAACTTTAGGCTCATCCTTATTTGAGCTCTTTTTGAAACCTGACTATAACCGAAAAGTGGTTAGTAACCTTCCGGTCAGAGCGTCGCCCAGCTATCAACAGTCGTACGATAGGGATAGGGTACAGGAACGCCTCCAAGAGAGACAGGGTACCCAAAAACACTATCACGACCAAGCTGGAGCCAGAGGTTTACTTCCCCTTATGACGGGAGAGACTATCACGGTACAGGATCCGCAAACTGGACTGTGGTCACCTGCAAAGGTAATTCAAAAGGGCCAAGAACCACGGTCTTATATGGTGGAAACACCAAATGGAAGAATCCTTAGGCGTAATAGACAACAATTACGTAGTGTGCTCAAAGCAGGCAAGCAAGTCCACTTTGAGGACAACCCAGTCGTTGTGCCGCAGACTACACAGGCGCGGCCGCATCATAACACGACTGAAAGACCTGTGACCACTAAAACAGGAATGGCTGTTAGCGGTAGAGTCAACAGTGACACGTATAGAACACGTTCAGGGCGGTAGATTAGAACGCCGAAACGTTATTCAGACACCTAAAAATGGTGCACGGAATATGCATACAATAGTCTTATATTAAGCTATGATTTGTGGTGTGCATAATCGCAAGTCCGATGTTTTGCATTATAATTGAATCGTTATTCGTTTAGTTAACTGGTAAAGACGTACAAAGCGATGAACAATCCAGTTAACAGTGTTTTATTTGTGAACGTTCCGGTATGCGGAAAGCATTTATTTGTGAACCTTTTTGTAGCAACGAACGTTGTGTAAAAATGTGGAACATTATTCACACAGTGCAAGGATATTTGCACAAGAATCACGACATTATGTTATAAGTTTTCAGTTCTCAGTCAGTTATATGGATACAGACCGCAGCAAGTTAAAAATTAATTGTCATAGTTATGTTTATTGTTATAAAAAAGGGGGATGTAACATTCCAGTTGGAAAGGGGGATGTAATGATGTTGTAATAAAGCTAATATTATCATGAAAGGGAAAGTTGATTAGAAGAAGGTCATTAAGGAAATCGTAAAGCTACCGGCTAGCCTAAGGGATAGAATGTTAGGATGTCGCGGCAGGTTTTAGAAACAATTAATCTTAGAGACAATTGAGTTTAGTCGTGCCATAGCATGCAGTCACGTAGAACGGTCAACTTGACCAGTCCAAAACCGTCCAGTAAACTCGCCGTCTAAGGGGGCGTGTCGAGGCCAATACTGACGTCAGATAGAGGGCTAATGATCCTGAAATTTAGGATATAAACCGGGGCACTAGACTCTGAAAATCAGTTCGAACTTCATCGACACATCTGGTATGTATTAATAGATCTATCGTATTAGTGCTCTATCGTATTGGTATGTCTCTCTCTCTCTTTAAACTATTTTGAGTCATTGTATCTGTTTACTTACGGTACTTACCTCTGTTTATCATACACATCAACTCTGTTGATTATTCTATGAGAAAACAAGTAGTGCAAACATACACTGTATATGTGCAGAGAGAGACGGAGCGCTAGCTAGGATACGTAGACTATTTATACATTGTGACTAACCACCGTAGCCACGCCGGTAAGGTGCGCACCGTATTGCGTTTATCTAACACGACGAAACCCTGTTATGCTTGTACTTAATTGGTGATAGAAAGAATAGATATATATATATATTGTTGTACGTACACGTCTGGTCTGTCTATTATTTTATGCTAACCTCAGGGTAATTAATTCATAATTACCCGCACCAAGCGAGAGCCCTTTCGGGTTAGAGCATCGCATGGTATATACACTATACGTCACGAGCTACGATCACACACACACACACCCACACACCTGAGCGTACACGTATACACGGATGGGAAAAGCACTATTACAATGTAACGTTATGACGTGCACGAAAGCGTACGAGATTCCACGAGAGACTCGCTCTCTCTGCTACGTGTGCTTGGAAACGTGAGCTGTGTTTGAGGATGGCTCCTCAGAACAATAAATATGATATCAACTAACAACATGTGTTGATCCATAATATTACAATATAGTGATTATAATTACACACTGACACACGATGACGCCAGTACGGGCTCACCAGCACATATGTTGCCACGTCCGCACTCACCGCACTAGAGTTAATCGCGCGCGCGCATGTGTGTGTGTGTGTGTGTGTGTGTGTGTGTGTGTGTGTGTGTGTGTGTGTGTGTGTGTGTGTGTGTGTGTGTGTGTGTCGTCGTGTCGTCGTCTGTCTGTCGTCGTGTCGTCGTTCGTCGTCGTCGTGTCCGTGTTGTAGTTGTCGTTCGTGTTCGTTGTTCGTCGTTCGTTCGTCGTTC